TATTATATTATATTATATTATATTATTATATTATACTATAATAATAATAATATAATATAATAATATAGTAATAATAATATATAATATTTAATATTATATATTATTAATTTTAATTAAATCAATTTTTTAAATTATATATATATAATATATATATTATTATTATTAGAACTCACTGTTATAGTCCAACACGAGCTCGTTGAAATTCCTGCCGGACGGCTCCTGGCCGACATATTGATGGACGACTTCCTGGCTGAGCCTGTCCAAGGCTATCGCGTAAGTCAATGGTTTGCTGCAGCTCTGCAGGGTGAACGGTATGGAGGTGTCGCCGATGCTGAACCTTTGTCCATCGATCGTGCAGACCGAGACGCCCCAGTAATCCGGATTCATTCGAGCCAGCTGGGGTATGTAAGACGCGACCTTGCCCTCCGAGTTCGACTTGCACTTCCAATAGAAGTCCTCGATGTGTTTCGTGAAGCCCGACCAGTCCGGGATGATGAACTGGTGCCTGAACGCTCTCGAGATCAATACTATGTTCGGATTTATGATCCTGCGAACGAGACCGAGATCGAGATCGGGATCAGAAACCGTCGAAGCGATCGCTTTCTGCGGCGACGAAACGGCGATTTCGGCGCGCGGCTGCGTCTCACCTGCGGAATTGTTCCCTGTTCAGTTTCTGCGTCTCGTGAGAAACGCCCTCGTGACCTCCCGTCTTCAAGTGTTCCTTTCGCAGGTTGTCCGAGAATTCTTGAAGCCTCGGGTCGTCGTTCCTCAAACCGGTCGTCCTCAGGGCCTTGAAACACGCGAAACAAGATAACGCGAAACGTCGAAGGACAACGCTCTCGCGTGCGAAATCGCGTTACGAGGATTCTACGCGTCGGATACTCACGGCCAAGAACTTGCCAACCGGCAGAAGCTCGGTCTCCTCGTTTTTGAACATGTCGAATAATGCATCCTCGGCGTTCGTCGCTTGATCCTGGTCTCTGGTGCTAGAACAGACCGAGGAATTAGTTAACGATCGTCTATGTATGTGCATCAAGGGTGGTCCTTAATCATAGGAGTCAAACATTATTTTTGAGCTTCTTTTGGCTTACCCCCTTCTTTCAAATTGTGCTACATGGTGAACAAATAATGTGTGCAAAATTGCAAAGCGATTGGACAACGGGAATCCGTGCCGCATCGGTGTCGAAGCTTTGAAATTTCTATTATTTTTTTAATTGTTAATTTGAATGTTAATTTCAATGTAAATGTGTGCCACTATTTTAGATGCAGTAGTGAATATTTTTTCATGAAAATATAACGTCTTGTGTGTACATAATATTATCTAAACTTGATCTCTAATTATACATTATTATATTATTATATATTATAATTAAACAATAAAATATGATTATATATTATTTCAATGTAAATGTGTTCCACTATTTCAGATGCAGTAGTGAATATTTTTTCATGAAAATATAGTGTCTTGTATGTACATAATATTATCTAAACTTGATCTCTAATTATACGTTATAAGAAAATTAATAAATTAATCAATTAATCAATTAATTTCACTATAACAGATTATTATAAGACTGCCTCTAGAACAGTGGAACGCATTATTTTTTTCATCATATAGCACAATTTGGGGGAGAGGGGTTAGCCAGAAGAAAATGCAAAAATCATTTTCGCCACCTACAGCTAAAGACGACCCTAATGTGCATAGTACTTCTAAGGAGCATGCAATCTACCGTTTCATGCAGAATAAGGAGAACATTGCAAACTGCTGGGTTTTTGGAAGAACGGTTGTCTTCAACCCCTCGTCCACCGACGTTTCTTTACAGTTATAATTAGAATTTCACATTGGAATTTTATTACAGCTAAATGTATTTATATTAATATAATAATAATAATAATAATATATATATAATATAATATTATAATAATAATATATTTATATTAATATAATAATAATAATAATAATATATATATATATAATATAATATAATAATAATAATATATATAATAATTATATAAATCATAAATCATAAATCATTATATATATCATGCCAGCTACACTGTGCTAAAACTTATTCAATCATTCGATTTTTCTTCGTAAAAGAAGATTATAATATATACATTGATTATAGTATATATTGACAGCAGATTATTAAGTAGATTATTATGATTATAGTATACATTGATAATATCAAACGTATATATTTCTTTGCAGTAGTCCGTTATCTAGTTGTACTCTTATCTTTGCTGACAGGAAACTAAACACGGTAAATTCTCCGTAATTGACGCTCGGCTTGATTAATCTAGCGGCTCGCTTTTACAGTTGTTGACAATCGATAACTATAAAAACGAGCCGCGAGGCTCGAACAATCGTATCTCCTCTTCCCAAATGGTCCAATTTTGTGCGCAGTCTGAGCGCGAATTAGGGAGAAATTACCGTATGTACTTCGCCTTCGGACCTTTCAGTCTGTGTCATGCATCAACCAACAAAGACAACAACAACAACAACAACAATAATAATAATAATAATAACAATAATAATAATAATAATAATAATAATAATAATAATAATAATAATAATAATAATAATAATGATAATGATAATGATAATGATAATGATAATGATAATAATGATAATAACAACAACAATAACAACACGTTCCACACGGTACTCACTACATGTAATGGCTGTCATGAATGAAGCTGTACTCGCTGCAAAAGAAACACAACGAAAAGGTTGTATCAGTCGACAATGCGAGTGTGATCATTACCTAAGGAATCGCGCCAGCATCCTCTTAGACTTGTAACCTTTCTTCTCTAACCAGATGGAGCACGCGACCTTCGATCTGATCGCGTAATCGTCGGGGCTGTTGACCGGTACCAATTCTTTGCTATCAGCCGAATGTTCCTCGTCTATCGCGACGTAAGGCACAACGATGCTCAGGTTGTTCTCCTTCATTTTTTCGCCGCAAGTATTTTTCCGTGTCGCCGAGCGTTTCGAAACAACCGTGATTGCCGCGAACAAAAAAGTTAAGGGAATGAGTCGCGATTCGAGTCCGCCGCGGTTGCTCCGTTTAAGCCGGAAACCAACGAAAATGTTCGTCGATGTCTGCGAAGATCGAACTCGGGATGCTGTCTTTATATGGACGGTGCTTGTATGGACGGAAACGAGCTGTGCTATCATACGACAGGGAAACACGATCCAAAAATAGCAGAAACGCCAACAAGTAGAAACGACAGGTGTGCGTTTTAACGTGTTTTCTTTTTGTTTTCTCTCTCTTTTTTCGCTCGTGTGTACGAGCGTGCTTCGAACGAGCAAACAAAACGGCGCCATGAAAAACTGGAGATCGTCACTGGTGGTCGGCTTGCATAATCGCAAACAAACTGTATTGTATCCGTCAATATCGACCGCGATTTTCCGCCTCGCGGCTGGAAAAAGATCGATGCCGTTTTTTCTTTTCTCGGCCGTGCCCGGCTTTTTAGACCGAGTTCTGGTTTAAGCGGTTTACGAGCGGTTTACGAGCGGTTTCAGTGTCGAGGGTACATTTCGATCTACAGATTTCAAAAATAATAGGTTTTACTTGATTCAATTGTTCACAGATTTTCGTGGTCCTCGATTCGGAATAGAGTGTTACGGTATGTCTCTCTAATTGACGCTCAGATTGTCCACAAAAATGGACAATTTAGGAAGAGGAGATACGATTATTCGAGCCTTGTGGTTTATTTTTATAGTTATAAATTGTCCACAATAATAAAGATCGTATCTCCTCTTCCCAAATTGCCCAATTTAGTGGACAATCTGAGCGTCAGTAAGGGAGACATTACTGTACAGAAATGTCTCCCTAACTGACGCCCAGATTGCGCACAAAAATGGACAATATGTGAAGAGAAGATACGATTATTCGAGCCTTGTGGTTTATTTTTATAGTTATAAATTGTCCACAATAATAAAAATCGTATCTCCTTTTCCTAAATTGCCCAATTTAGTGGACAATCTGAGCGTCAGTAAGGGAAACACTACTGTACAGAAATGTCTCTCTAATTGACGTTCAGATTGCGCACAAAAATGGACAATATGCGAAGAGGAGATACGATTATTCGAGCCTTGCGGTTTATTTTTATAGTTATAAATTATCCACAATAATAAAGATCGTATCTCCTCTTCCCAAATCGCCCAATTTAGTGGACAATCTGAGCGTCAGTAAGGGAGACATTACTGTACAGAAATGTCTCCCTAACTGACGCCCAGATTGCGCACAAAAATGGACAATTTAGGAAGAGGAGATACGATTATTCGAGTCTCGCGGTTTATTTTTATAGTTATAAATTATCCACAATAATAAAGATCGTATCTCCTCTTTCCAAATTGCCCAATTTAGTGGACAATCTGAGCGTCAGTAAGGGAGACATTACTGTATTCCTAAATAGACATGTGCAAAGCAATAGATAAAAAGCATTGAAAAATATTTATTTTTCTTATTTTTTTTCGTCATTCCAAGTTCAATAGCAAAATTTAAAAAATCAGGGTCATTATCTAGTACATCGATCCCTCTATAATCTAAAAAAAAGGGTTCAAGTCATCTGGTCCAGTTTGAATAAAAGTTATACCGTTTTTCTTTTCATACGGTCTTATATATATTTTATGTTCGCTACTGTATATCTATTTTCCATAAAAATATGCATAAACATCCACGACCTTTTTAGTTATAAATAATAACTCTTATTATTATTACAATCGCGTCGGAGTCTGAACAACAAAGATTTGCGTAGCGACCACCGCACATACCACGAACGATGAGATCACACCTGCGAGCAAACAGTCGATTAGGTTCAATTAGAACGACTGGTGATCGGATACCGCGAATGATAGTCATCTGGCGAGCGCGCGGCGACCGTCAGGATTTCGTCGACGAACCTGGTCACGTGCGCCGGCCACCCGTGTTCGAACGTATTTTGCATACTTTATTTTATTGTCCAACTTATTTGCAATTAGCTCAAAATTAGGCAAACCCTGTACGAAACGATTTACAATAGATTCTCCCTAATTTTTGTTTCAGCTTGTAAATGAGGATGGACAATTTGGAAAGGGGAGATTAAATTTTATTCGAATAACATGTCGAATAAATTATATGAATAACATGTCGAATAAACTATTCGAATAATCTTTGAAGAGAAAGTGTTAATAAGATATACTTGAAGGAAGAAAATAAGCAAAATTATGGAAAATGTAACAAAATTTTCTCGTTTCCATTCTCGTAAATATAAAGCAGCTCTTACTATACACACAACTGTGGTCTCATTGAAATAATTTAAATTGTTTCATGCTTGTGAGAAATCTGAAAGCTGTTTAAAAATGAAATTACAATACTTTATTAATACTTTCTCTTCAAAGGTTATTCGAATAATTTACTCGAGATGATTATTCGAATAAAATGTCGTACGAATAATTTATTCAAGATGTTATTCGGATAGAATGTCATTCGAGTAATTTATTCGAGATGTTATTCGATTAAAATTTGATTCGAGTAATTTATTCCATATGTTATCGAATAAAATTTGATTCGAGTAATTTATTCCATATGTTATTCGATTAAAATTTGATTCGAGTAATTTAATCGAGATGTTATTCGAATAAAATTTGATTCGAGTAATTTAATCGAGATGTTATTCGAATAAAACCTTATTCGAAGAATTTATTCACATTATTCGAAGAATCTACTCGAATAAAATTTACTCGAATAAAATTTTACTCGAATAATGCCCAACTCTGTGACACATAAGCTTCTATTATTCAACCCGCTCGGTTATTCGAAATGTTTTTTATCCCCCGGACAGCTCGGATAAAGGAGGTTCTACCGTAACAGTCTCACCAGAGCGACGAATTGTAAAATTCAGCGATATCCTCGGCGTGGTGTCCGGTGAAATTCTTGCCCATCGCCTTCCGTTCGGTCTCGAGGGCGTATTCGAACGAGCTCCAGTTGTTCATCGTTCGCGGAGATGTTATCCTCGATGTCTACCCTTTTATCGCGGCGCCGACACTCTTCCGTAAGCGCGCGGGATCGATCGATCGATCCAGCAAACTTACGGAGAACAAAATCATGCGTTCCGCCGAACGTATTTAAATGCGGAGCGACGTCGTTAAGACAATAAATTGCGATGCTTGGGGTCGGATCTATGAAGATCAATGGTTCTCAATTAATCGGCCACGCGATCGTCGACGGTGTACAGCAGCATGGAAAACCGTTTTTCCCGGACGAAGTTCAATTTATTCGTTCAATTTTAACGTTTCGACAAGATCCACATTTTCTGTAAACTTAGCGAACCCTTTAACAGTCGCAGCAACGGCCGATGTCGTAGCAATGATCAGACTGTGAATTTTTATGCGAAATAAAAGTTATACTAATATAGAAATTAATAATGAAATAGATATAGAAATTACGCGGATATTTATTAGGATGTTACGTGATATTTATTTGTCGTAGCAATGACCAGACTGTGAATTTTTATGCAAAATAAAAATTGTACCAATTACAAGATCTAGAAAATACGTGGATATTTATTACGATATTACGTGATATTTATTTGTCGTAGCAATGACCAGACTGTGAATTTTTATGCGAAATAAAAATTGTACCAATTACAAGATCTAGAAATTACGTGGATATTTATTACGATATTACGTGATATTTATTTGCCGTAGCAATGACCAGACTGTGAATTTTTATGCAAAATGAAAGAGATGTGTATAAGAGACAGAGTTATACTAATTACAAGATCTAGAAATTACGTGGATATTTATTACGATATTACGTGATATTTATTTGCCGTAGCAATGACCAGACTGTGAATTTTTCTGCGAAATAAAAGTTATACTAATTACAAGATCTAGAAATTACGTGGATATTTATTACGATATTACGTGATATTTATTTGCCGTAGCAATGACCAGACTGTGAATTTTTCTGCGAAATAAAAGTTATACTAATTACAAGATCTAGAAATTACGTGGATATTTATTACGATATTATGTGATATTTATTTGCCGTAGCAATGACCAGACTGTGAATTTTTCTGCAAAATGAAAGTTATACTAATTACAAGATCTAAAAATCACGTGGATATTTATTTCGTATTTTTTTTCATAATTTTAATAAGTTGTAAATAGTGCAATATGATACATTTTATTTCATTAAACGTTCAAACGAATTGTATAATTTGGAAGAACTATATTAAATTCGACTTCGAATGCAAAGGGTTGAAATTGTATTTCGCAGAAAGACGAATCATAATGTAATAGAATCATAATGTAATAGATGATCGACCATGATCGAGCATTATTCCAGCGATTTAGAGTCGCGATTGAGAACCGTCAGCATCGATTGCATCGGATTTATTGGTAGCCCATTGTGTTCCACCTAATGCGTGTATCGGTTCTCCGTTGCTACGATGTTCCTCGGTTAAGGGAGAACGCGATAATCGTTTAGCCTTATTTCGAATACGCAACAACGGTCTCTGCGACACGAGCAATTGGACTATTCTACGCAACGTTGAAGTTTAACTGGGCTGGCTCCTTGTCTAAACGTTTTAGATTTAATCACCGAATTACGTAATCGTGCTCGAACGATGCCGCACAATTCGCAACGTGTCTTAACGAGCGTCGCACTTTCGTCGCGAAACTTCTCGTGTTTCTCGATTATATGTATTATGCAGTCCGATGCATCGATGTGCCTCACGTTTTCTATAATAATCGACACCTTCGCCGTCGACGACGCACGCGTGCCATGATCGCGATTTTCATAGATTTTACGAGGAGTGGCAAATTAATTTTATAACAGCTGTTTTTAATTTTGTAAGAGATTAACAGCTCGACTTGGCCATGCCAAGAATCTCGGAAGGATTAAATATGTTCAAAACAGTGCAAATTAATATTTCATATACTAGTATAATGATATAATATAATATAAATAAATAATGATATAGTAATATAATATTTTGTGTATACAAATATTATATAATAAATAAATAATAATAATAATAATATATTAATATAATATTTAATATTATAATAGTAATATTTGATATATTATTGATATATTATTATTATATATATATTTTATATATTAAATATATATTAAACATAATAAATATTATTATATATATATTATTTCTATATATATTTAGACTTTAGGCTTTGTCCTCGCGGTCAATGGCACTCGTGTGTTTCAAGTGCGCAGGCATCTGCGCATTTCATCGTGGATGAAATATCACACCGTTTGTATCGTTTCGCTTTAAGAACGCGAAGCAATGATAACAGTCTATTTAAATTCCTTTTTATAATTTGCTCAGCTCTCGCGCGTTTCTCAAAGATACAAGAGATTCTAGAGGATAATCATCGACCAATCATTTTTGCTTTATCTCTCGAATCAAGAAATTATACCTCATTCGCCACAAACAGAACAAAGCCAACGACTTCATAGACTTCATAATAAAATTTAATCGATGAATTTTTTATTCTAAGGGAAGGTTTAATGTTTCTTCGTAACCGACTATTAACCCTTTGCACTCGGAGAATTTTCTCTGGTCACGCATTTATCGGCAAAGTTGACGTTTTAAAAAAAAAAATATATATATATATATAATAATAATAATATAATATAATATAATATAATATAATATAATATAA